CGTATTCCATATCTAAAAGAACATTGCTGCTGGAAATGTCTCGGTGAATGATTGGAGGCGAGCAATCATGGTGTAAATAGGATAATGCATTGGCCACTCCTTTAACAACATTAAGCCTTCTATTCCAATCCAAGTCCATTGCCTGTTCTTCGCTAGATAAATTTATCTTCAAACTTCCCCTTTCTATGAACTCATAAACTAAAAAAGAGTGCTCAATTAATGAACAAAATCCATATAACTTCATAATATTTCGATGTCGAATATCTATTAACATGCGAATCTCATTTCTAAAAGTTTTGAAACTCATAAGCTCGCCATCTCTTGATGGATGAAGTTTCTTCACGGCAACCACCTGACCTGTAGGCAACATGGCTCGATAAACAATTCCATGTCCCCCTTTCCCAATGCAGTTATTGAAGTTGAAATTATTAGTGGCCTGGATGATGGTTTCATGTAGGATCTCTTCCTCATAGCCCCATACTGCAAAACTGAGTGGACTTTGTCGCTCTCCTAAACCGAAAATTCTTTCCCTGCTTCTTTTGTGGAGAAAGTATAAACATCCGACCATGGTAAGTAGTAGAAGTAGACTGCCCAGGAGAGGAAAAAGAATCAAAATGACAATTTTGCTGCTCCTTCTCCTGCTTGTAAGAAGTGTACAAGGCTTTAGACCACTGGCATTTCCACAGAGACCACTATTATTCATAAAAGCTTCAAATGGAGCTTCAATGAAGCCTTTGATTTTGGGGATAGGGCCCTCTAGTTCATTGTAGGAGATGTCTACAGCTGTCAAGCTCACCAAATCTACAAAAGCAGTTGGAATCAAACCGGAAAGTTTGTTGTGAGAGAGGTTCATCGTTTCTAACCGTTTCAATTGCCCAATTTGTGATGGTATCGCTCCTGCCAGAAGATTCCCAGTGAGATCTAGATGTCCAACTAAATGCAGTAAGCCTATCTCAGATGAGATGCTCCCTGTGAACTTATTATGACTCAAGTTCAACTGTAATAAATTTTAGCACTGTCCCAGTTGTTTTGGGATTGATCCACCAAGATTATTAGAAGCTAAATTCAGGAGACGAAGTTGAGATAGCACTTGGATTTCAACGGGAAGGACACCAAAAAGATGGTTGTTATGAAGAGCAAGGTTGAACAACGCCTTCAACTGCCCCAATTTTTTTGGAATTGTCCCCTTCAGGAGATTTGACGAGAGATCAATCATCTGTAACCTAGTAGCCTTTCCAAGCTCTGATGGTATCTCATCGGTGATATTATTGTTTGACAATTTTAGGCTCACCAAGTTGTGAAAACCTCCCCATTTCCACGTAAGCTTACCATACAAATCAGTGTGACTTAGGTCCACATAGGTCAAGTTTGGGTAGAGGCCAAAATCTTCAGAAATATTCCCTGACAATTGGTTCAAATTTAAATAATCTTCAGAAATAGTCCTAAATTTAAATAGACTAGTGCAATTTCGCAAGCTTTTAGGGATTGGACCAGAAAAATGATTGTTGGCGGCTGTAAAATTTACAAGCAACCCATCAAGGCACAAGTCTCGTGGTAAATGGCCAGTGAAATTATTTGAAGACAATTTCAATTCAACAAGGGATTCAAGTTGTCCTATTTCCCGAGGAACAGATCCAGATAAATTATTATTGTTCAGATGAAGTCGACTGAGCAAAGTCATGTTCCCAATAGAAGAAGGGATGGAACCAGAGAGTTTGTTATCCTTGAGATTGAGAATGAATAAGTTTCTCAAATTTCCAATAGAAAAAGGGATCCTACTAGTGAGATTATTTTTATCAAGGTAGAGAAAGTTAAGACTTGTTAACAATCCTATCTCAAGTGGAATAGTTCCGTAGAGTGAATTGTTCCCGAGATTGATAGTGAGAAGATTGGGGAAGAATGAGAAGTTGAAACTATGAAGTGTACCTCTCAGACCAAAATTTGGAAGGCTGAAATCCGCGACACTTCCAGAATTGTCACAAGTGATCCCAAGCCACTTGCAAGGGCTGCTGCCAACCCAAGAAGACAGGACAGATTGGCTGTGGTTGTCATCAAGACTTGCTTTCCATTTTAGGAGAGCCTCCGCTTCTTTATTATCTTCAGCAGCTACATATTTGACAGCACCAAATGAAGTTGCAGAGAAATTAGGAGGAAAGGCAAAGAAAGAAGGAATGCACATTAGGAGAAAAAAAAGGACTTGGAGAAACTTTGAGAATGGTTTCTGTAGGAAGGACATCATGCCTAAGGGATATGGTTTCCTATGGCAGATGAAGATCGTAGGCTCCAATGATATGTTTTTATAGAAAAAAAGAAATGGAATATTTATTAGAATTTTTAATTGTGAAATTTCCGATTCATCTTTGTTCTTATTTTACAGACTTTGACATATATACGTCAACAACAGTGACATCAGTTTTTATTGGGTGGGAGATTAGGAAAAT